CCCCCAGATGATTGCCGTCATCGGCGCGGACTTAAAATAGGCTCCAGCTGCGTCCGCGCGCACGACGACGATGAGCGACGAGCGACGAGCCACGAGCGACGACGACGAACGACGAAAACGACGACGAACGACGACGACGACGACGCCTGCGGACCAGACACCTATGCGGATTCCTACGCGGACACATGCGCGGATCCCAATGCGCACGGCGACAGTGCCCGGAGCGCACTGGGGGGGGGAGCGTTACGTCATAGGGGGGGGAGCGGGGGCCATGACGCCCGTCATGCCCCAAGCAATAAAGAAATGGCTTCTTGCCATACTGATAAAGGCCATGATGCAGGCTCCCTTGCTGTCGAAGGCTGCATCAAACCTCGCATGCGCGCGAAGAGCACGGCGGCCATTGGCCAGCGCCGTGCATCGCGCGCGACGTTGACCGCCAGGCCGAGAGGCAAGGGGATGGCGACCAATCCTAAGCGACGTCATCCGCGACGAAATCATCCGGAAAAACGTTTTTCTGGATGAACTCGTCCGAATGAACTTGCCCAGATGAATTCGACCAATCGTCTTCAGATGACGTCGTCCAGGAGAAGTCGCCCGGATGAACTCATTCGGATGAACTCGTCCTGATGAACTCGCTTCGGGTGAACACGGAGGCTGTCTTGGGGTTTACGCCTGGGGTTAAGTTCCAGACGTAAGGTTCGGCGTCTGGTTCGGGTTCAGGGGTTCGGGCTTAGGGTTAGGGTTTAGGATTCGGGTTAGAGCTAGGGTTTGAGGCAGGGTCAGGGTTTAGAATTGAGGGCATAGGGTTAGGGTTTAGGGTCAGGTTCGGGGCTCGACTTGCAAGTTCTGGTTGCGGTTTAGGGCTAGGCAAAGGATCAGGCTTCAGGGTTCGGGTTTTGGGCGAACGTTTAGGTTTAGGGTTCATGATTAGGTTTAGGGTTAGGGTTACTGGTTTGGGCTAGGGTTTAAGGTGAGGGTATTGGTGTTCGGGGTTAGGGTTCAGGGGTAATGTTAGGGGGCCAGGGCTTAGGGTCAGAGTTTAGGGTTAGGGCTCAGGGTTTGGGTTTAGGGTTTAGTATAGGGTTAGGCATCCAGGTGTTAGTGAGAATTTAGGTTTCGGATTCAGAGTTAGGGTCTGAGGGTGAGGGTTTAGGGCTAAAGTGTAGGGTTTGGGCTTAAGGTTTAGGTTTAGTGGTCGGCTCCTTCGGAGAATTATCCACTGGTGTTATTGCACAAAAATATCCCGGAAGAAACCTGACCGCACAAGAACGGGAAGTGCCGTTTTTGCTCATAGCAGTGTTTGTCGTCAAAGCTCTGGACGTCAGCGTTCGTACTGGGAGCTCTGGCGTTCGAAGCTGCCCACAAAATCGTTCGTAATGGAGCCTTGGGATGTCGTGGTCGGTCTCTCGTAGGCCTCTTAGAAGCAATTCTGAAGCCTCTTGGGGGCCGTTTTTGGGGGCCGTCTTGGGGGCATCTTGGGGGCCTTTTTGGGGCCTCTTGGGGGCCTCTTGGAGCGTCTTGGGGGACTCCCGGGGGCCTCCTGGACCCTCCGGGGGGGCACTTGGTGCCGAGGACCCGAAAAGTCCATTCGTGTACCTCGTCTGGGCCCCCTCTAGGAGCCATATTGACGGCCTCTTGGGCCGCCGCGAAGCCTCTTGGGGCCGTCTTGGGGCCGCCTTGGGGCCTTCTGGTGCCTTCTTGGGGCCGTCTTGGGGGCCTCTTGGGCCGTCTTGAGGCGATCTTGGGGGCCTCTTGGGCCGTCTTGGGGCGATCTTTGGGGCCTCTTGGGCCGTCTTGGAGCGTCGGGAAACGGAAAAGGCGAGAACCCCAAAAACCTTCAAAAACTATTCAAAAATCATAGATTTGTGCCTCTGTGGCGCTCTCGTGAGGCCTCTTCGAAGCCTCTAGAGGCGTCTTGGAGGCATCTTGAGGGCCTCCTGGGCCGTCTTGGAGCTCTCTTGGACCGTCTGGAAGCCATTTTAGGGCATCTTGGAACGCTCTAGGGCGGTGTTGGAGCGCTCTTGGGCCGTCTTGGAGCCCTGGTGGCCGTCTTGGGCGCGTCTTGGTCAGATTTTTTGAGCGGGGTGACAATTTTTCCGCAATTTTCCGGAACCTGACCGGACAAGAACGGGAAGCGCCACTTTGTCTACAGGGCTTGCCAGGGAACGTCACGTTGAGAACCTCCAAGAAACTTCAAGACGGGCGTCGTCGTTGTCGTCATCGTTGTCGTCGTCGTAGTTGTCGCCCTTCTCTGTCGTCGTCGTTCGTCTTTTCTCGTTCATCGTTCGTCGTTGTCGTCGTCCGTCGGAGATGTCGTTGTCGTCGTCCGACGTTTCGTCGTTGTCGTTAATCGTTCGTCGTCATTATCGTCGTTCGACGTTCGATGTCGTCGTCGTCAGTGTCGTCGTCGTCGTCGTCGTCGTCGTCGTTGGGCGTCGTCGTTTTCGTCGTTCGCCGTTCGTCGTCCGTCGGCGTCGTCGTCGTCGTTGCAGCCGTGCGTCATCGTTCGTCGTTCGTCGTCGTCGTCGTCGCACGTGGACCGTCGTTGCTCGAGAGAGCCGTAAGACGGCTCAAATCGGTCCAAGATGGCCCAAGAGGACCCCAAGAGAAGTCCAAGACGGGAGATGTTGTTTGTATGCCCCTTCGAGATAACACAAACCTCGTGGAGGTCGTTTTGGAGCCTCTTGGGGTTCTTTTGGGACTCTTGGGGGCCGTTCTGGGGCCATCTGGGTGTTTTTTTAGTTGTTTCGAAGATTCTTGGGGTCTTTCTCTGGCGCATATCGAACGATACGCAAGTCGCAGCAGCCTGGTGTGAAACATGGACTGGGCATTGGGTCAGTCAATCCGCCCGCATCAGGTCAGTCAATCCGCCCGCATCAGGTCAGTCAATCCGCCAGACGATTGCACTCGGCGAATTCTTGTCGAAGGAATGCTGGAAGATCGGCAGTAGACCAAAAGGACGTTGCGTCCGGGCGGTTGCTGTTGCGCGCGTCTGACTCTGGGGGGCGTGGGCGCAGCTGCGCGCCGCGGAAATGGATCGGCTCCTCCCACCATAAAGCGATCCAGTATGGGTAATCTGCTCGCTGGCCGCCCACATTGTAGAGGCAGGTGCGGGCGCGTTCACGTAGGCGATCCTGAAAGAGTAAGATTCCCACATCCAAGCGGTCGCTTAGACTGCGCACGTCAGTTTGAGTACCCCAATGAACGTTGCCTGGCTGACGCATGAAGTGGGAGAGTCTGGCTCGAACCTGGGCTAGGTTGGCGACTCCGCCAGGTATTCTCGTAATGCGCTCTTCTCTGGCGCCTGCTCCAGAGTGCGCCTGGGCGTACGCGATGCGAACGAGCGCGTCGCCATCATCTTGCTCTTCAAACGCCGGGGCGCTTTCAGCGTGCAAAAGGCATTCGAAGCAGAAGTCGGACAGCAACGCTGCAGGGCCCCACTCGTCGAGATGGGCGTTGCTGCGCTGTTGCATGGCTGCAGCGACCACGAAGTCGAGCACCTGCCGGGGGCCACTGGCTGTATATCGAGGCGGAGATGGCCCGCAAGTGCTGCATTTTGGCGTTGGAGCCCTGGAAGAACACTGCGGATGGGATGCTCTTTAAAATGCGTCGTGCCGGCCCACCTCCGTGGAGCACCATGCGAGCGAGGACGCCCGCGACACTGTGGTAGAGGCAATCTCCGCCAGCTCCGTATTCCACACTTTCCACTTCGAAGGGTCCCGTGGCTACGTGCCGCGTGAACTTCGCGCAGTAGTTGCGCAAGTTCGTCGATGCCGGACACGGGGTCCCGCGAGCCCACGGCAAAGTGGAGGTAGCCTCGCACTGTGGCGCGATCAAGAAGAAGGCGCACGTGGGGGAATGTGGCGTGCATCCAGCCTCTCCGCGCTCGGAGCAGGGCGCTCGCGGGGGGGATGAATGCCTGGCAGCCTTGCGCTTCCCGTTGTCGTCGTTATCTGCGGCACCTCCCCTCGCGTTAGCGGCACTGTTTGGGCTGCTTGCCGCGTGTGCGTCTGGCTTGCACGCTGTGGCGCTCTGCTCCCCCAGCGGGGCCGTCCTCCGCTGCGCTGCAGCGGTGCGCTGTGCCGCTTGGGGCGGCTGCGGGCCCGTGCTCCCCGCGGGGGCCGCGCCCGCGCCGGCGGCGCACTGGCGGCCAACGGCCGCACAGATTGCTCTTTCCGACTCGGAGGCGTTCACCGTGGGCGGCGTCGACGCGCGCGCCGTCTCCATGTTTGGCAGCCGCGGCTTCTTCAGCGGGGGCGCCGAGGACGGTGGCGTCGCCTGCGCTGCAGCATCCTCGCCCACGCCCGCCGTGTCTCCAACTCTCGACAGGGGCGCAGGTGGCGTCGTTTTGCCGCGCGTGCGCCGAGAAACTGCGCGGAGCGCTGGCCCGGCTCTCCGATATTCGGCTACCTCGGCGGACTGCCGGGCGGCGCCGTCCTGAGCAAGAACTGAATCCAAGATCTCAGGCGGGAACGGTTCCCCCTTCAGATCTTGCAGGATCTGAATCAATTCGTCCAGCGACGCCGTCTCCATGTCAGCAAGGCGGGTAATTTCGTCGAGGATGAATTTCGGAGGCGGTCGGGACAATTCCCGCCTCGTGGCTGGGCGCAAGATGAGTAAGCCTTCCACGGAGACGGGCCGCGACAGCATGACGTAGCAAGCGAGCCAGTGCGTGTCGGCGTCCATCGACGGTGGCTTTTTCATGTCGGCCACCACTGCTGGGTACGTGCCACCTTGTTGCACGCCCGTAGTGGGGGACGGTTCTTTGGGTACAATGCCGAACAACAGTGCCTTTGCACGCGGGCTAGAGGATTGCGGCAGCAGTGGTTCGCCGGACTAGAACTTCTGTCAGAAGGACAGCAACTGTTGTCCGAACGACAAAGAGTGGTGTCCGGTGGGCCCCAGCGCACAGCAACTATTGTTTTGCGTGAGCAGGCATTACTGTTCGGCATTGTGGCCAAAGTTCCGTCCCCATTCCGAGGGTGCAGATCCTTGGGCGCCGTGCACTATAATGGTATCCGCTGGAAGTAACCGGTACGTTGTCCGGCGGACAGAAAAGTTCTCCTCTTCCCACGTGGCGCGGAGGTATCCGTAGGTGGGCCGCATCTGGAAGAGCCCCTGTCTGTCAGTGCACGTTGGCAAGTCTGCGGGCAAGTCTGACGCTGGAAGCGTCCACTCAGCGCCGTCCGCTTGCAACCATAACGTGATCGGCATGTACTGCAGGTGCACAACATTGTCGTCCAGGGAGTCCGCGGGGAAACTCTCGCCGTCGGCGAAGACGATATGTCGAAGCGTGCACACGCAGCCCTTCATCAGTCCCAATCGCACGCAATCCTTCGAGTACATGGTCAGGCGCATGCCGACGTAGAGGGGCAGCAAGCTGGGCAGGTCCTGCGTGTCTTTCGGGCTTACTTTCTGAAGGAGTGCCCGGCGGACGTCGCTTGTCATTTTCCGAGAGTCCCCTGGGTGAACTGGCTCGTCCCGGGCTTGGACGACGTACACGCGCTGCCCCGTGCGCAAAGCCTGCTGTCGCGCATTTTGCATGGACCGATAAGCTCGAATCTTGTGTCTGTGCACGATGTACGTCCACGGGTGCATTGCAAATGGAGACGCCGGGTCCAGCGGTCGAGTGTCGTTGGAAGACAGAATGCGATTGGTGTATAAGGCCCACATCTCGTCAGAAATGTGGCCAGCACGCATCTCTCCAAGCAGCTGACTGAGAGGGCCAGGGGCCCGGACGTTAATGTCTAGCGTCACAACCCGTCGCACTCTCCGCCAGAGTTGAAGCCCCTGCACTGTTTCCACGTGCTTGGACCTCTTCTTGTCTGCGTCCTTCGTTGTGGCGTCTGGGCCTTTTTCATTGAGGACGTCGACTTCGTCTGGGTCTGTGGCGAGGCTCCTGCTGTCCCCCGTCGGGTCTACTGGCGGGAGCTGCATGAAGTCTCCGGACAACGTCATTCCCAAGCCGCCCCATGCCTGAGCGGAATTCTTCGCGGCTTTCAATCGGACCTCCGACTGGAAGAGTTGCGCCGCAGCAACCATGGACACCTCGTCGATGAAGCACGCGAGAGCACACTCCCATCGATCTCGATGCTGTTCTAAGACAGATCGGGTCAAGCGGCCCTTCTTGCCCGTCACGGTGACGTTGCCGAACGGCAGCTTGCAGAGAGCGTGCAGCGTGTCACCCTTGAGAAGCCTCGCGGCGGAGTTCGACGGCGCGCACTTCTGAACCGTGTCGGGTCCGTTGAAGTAGCAGATCACCGCTTCCACGACTCTCAGCACCGCCGTCTTCCCAGTCCGCCTGGACCCATAAGAGCCAACTGAAAACCATCGGCGAGTGAAGGGCGTCCAGTTGCCGTTGGGCCCGTGGGCCCATCGAAGCCCCACCTGCGGTTCATGACATCTTGTAGCCATGCCGCGTTCCAGAGCAAAGCGCGGGCCTGTTTGACGTTCACGCGCTCCATGTCCACTACATCCAAGACTCCATTATGCAGAAGGTGTAGGCACGCGTCGACCACTGCCGTCCTCGTGCGCGGAGGTACAGGGGGGAACGTCGACGCGTCGCCGGTAGCCATTGCAGCGCGAAGTCGTCTCTCAAGTGCATCGGGTGCTGGCTGCGGGGACTTGTGTCGATGAAAGTGAGAGTCTGCTTTCCAAGCGTCCACCATCTTGAAAAACTCTGATTGCCGGTCTGCCGCTGCCAGCGACGCGGCGGGGCGCATGCAAGTTGCGTCGCTGGCCACAGTACAATCTGGCGGCCGCTCCGCAGCGCGCAGTCGGTCCGAGTTGTCCCGCATGAATTCGGCGATGTATTTGGCCTCTGCTGCCTTGCTTTTCTGCCACGTTTCCGGGGCGATGACGTCGTCCATTTCGATGCCTTCAGGGAAACTGCCGCAGAGCACACTCGTAGGATCTTGCGCGCGGAATGGTCGGCGAGGCAGTTCATCCGTGGCTTCCTCGTCGTCCATGGGTACGTCGGCTGGATTGCCGTTGTCGTCGTCGTCAGATTCCATCAGGATCCGACCAGCCCAATGGGCGGAGGTGGTCGAGAGCGCTTCCTCTGTCAATCTCGTCTTCCCATTCGGAGAGGGTTCAAGAAAAGGCAGGCTCAAGAAGGCCCAAGAGGCCCTTAGGAGCTTCCAAGATGGCCTCAAAAGGCTTTCGAAGGCCCGAAGAGGCTTCAAGTGTCTCTCAGGAAGCATCCAAAAGCTTCCCAAGAGGTTCAAAAGCTTGTTCCAAGATGGCTGCAAGAGGCCTCCACGATGCCTCACAAGAAACCCACAAACTGCCTCCAAGCTGCTTCCAACACGCTGCGATTGGTCGCCCATCACTGGCCGTCCGTCTACGTCGTCGTAGTGGTCGTCGTCATCATAGTCGTCTTGGTCGTCGTCCTTCACCACACGCATCCGGAGCGCTCCGGATCGGCTGCACTGGCCGGAGGCCAGCACATTGTGTTACTGTATCGGTACTCTGGCCAGCTCTCTTGGCCAGGGTTTTTGCATGAGCTGGTTCGGGATACGCGAAGCGTGATGAATAGGTGGGTCGTGCGTCGCAGCGTCGGCGTTGCTGGCGGCGGCGCTCGCCCACTGTGGCAGGTGTGGCATCTGGACGCTCGAAGGGCAGGCATCTCTGACTGTCTCTCTCCTGGAGGAAGCGAAGTCGTAGTTCCGAATAGTCTCCTCCACCCTGCGCGCCCGCCAAGCGTCGGACAATGGTTGCGTGGTAGAGGTGCACTGCATGGCGGCTTCTCGCCGCGACGTCTCCCACTTGTGGAATTCGTTGACGACCGCTTTCTGGAACTCCTCCTCGCCGTGGATCCACGGGAGCTGCGCAGCGCGATGGACGAAGTCGTGGAAAGTTCGGAACGGTCGGAAGAGGATCATGATGTGCACGACGTAGAGGAACCATTCTTCCAACAGATCTGCGCTCTGCGGTCTGCCTGGTAGTTTGCCGTAGAGGATCGGCACCTTCCACGGCTTATGCAGGCGCACGGAGGCGTAGTACGCGTACTGATACAGGATCGGTCCGTGTGGTTCGGCAGACGTAGGGTGGCCCCGGAGCGGAACTTTGTCATAGGTGGCACTTACCACGGCTGTGGCTGTCCTCTGGCGATGGGCGCCGTCTTCGCGCCATTGCAGCGAGCCTGGCGGCGGCTTCTTCTGAACTGACGCCTTTGCATCGCAAGCAGCAAAAAAAGTACAGCGGGAAGTGCTCCATCTCATCCGGCCTGTGCGCGTAATCGAACTCGTCGAGGAAGTTCCTGGTCGAGGTAATTGGCGCAGTGTAAGGTCGGGCACGTTTCGTGTCTGCGTGGATGTCGTCGCCACGTGATGCGGCGCACAACGCGCTGCGGATGCCATCATATAGCTTGCCGAAGAACACGGGGACGAAGGCATGGCTACTGTACGCGATCGGTTTCCCCAGCAAGTAGCTGATCATTGCGGGGAACCCTTTGTGCATTCTGTTGTTCGTCGCGGCAACCAGTGTATGCAACAACTTCCTGGCTTTCTCATGCTCGTCCACCTCCGCTGAAGTGCTTGCTGCGCGCGCGGCGCGTTCCTTCCTCTCCAGGGAAGCGGCTAGCGTCAGCTTCAGTCCATCCGCGTGCGGCTGTGCTTTCGATGAGTATGCCGAGGTGTAGTACTCGTGGTCACCCATGGCCTCCGCCATAGCAGTCTTTATCTCATGTACCTTGCATTCGTCTGGAGGCCCGTTCCCGGTCGAGGGCAAGTCGCAGAGGCGTAACAGGACGGCCAGGTCATGATTGCACTGAGGTCCCAGCATGATAGCGGGGTTGAGCCGGAAGTGGAAGGGGTGGTTCGTTTCTAGGGCGGGCAAGCCGACGTGCGGCGGGCACCGCAGAATGGGCGGCGGGCCCTGACCATCCCAGCGAGCGTGGAGTTCCAAGCCATGCTGCCGTTTGGCGACCTCTCTGCCACTCTTCTCGTCGCAGTGCCGAGCCCAGTGCCAGTAATGCATACGACAGAACCCTTTTTTCCCAATGCGTCCTTTGTAGCACACTGCGGGTTTGCATACGTGGTTGCCTGTCTTGCGTGTCCGAGAGAAAACCTCTTGGACAGCGCGTGCAGCCCATTGCCCATTGTCAACGCTGGAGTCGGACGAGAACGACGTTGGGAAGAACGCAAAATCTGGGACGTCGCCAATGCACGCAGTTGGTTCGACAGCTCCTCGACTTTGCTGCTGGGCGGTGTTGCTGGCAGCAGCACGGACACTTCCAATTTTGTCCCGCTGCGACTTGGTCAGCGGCAATAAAGGCAGCCGCCGCAAAACATCCATCCCAAGCGGTGAACCCGTGTAGTGTGCGAAGGCCTCCGTGCTGCGGAAAGTGATGGAAGCCACGTAGTGCCAAGTCCGCTTGAACGTGGTCTGCAAGTCGCCGTTTCGAAACAGGTCGTCTGGGTGCGAGAATCCGAGCAATCCGCCGCCGCGCTCTGGCGGCTATAGCGCGCGGGGAGCGCGCAACATTGTCGGCACGGGCATGCCGACTTACACGGGAGCTTTACTCTGGCCAAGGGGGTGCGGCGCCAGGTTCGGCGCGCGCGGCGGAACCGCGGGCCCGGGGAGCACATGGCAGGGCCGCGCACTGGAAGGCGAGACCCGTATCCGCAGATCTACGGCTTCCACCGAAAAAGCTGGTCCTGTGGATGACGATCGGGCGTGCCAAGGCGCCTGGGAGGTCCCCGTTCCGACGTTTTCATAGACCAACGACGGAATGTCCCTGGGTGCCCGGATGCCGAGACGTGAGTAAGTCGACTTCCTGGGGGGCGCGGGAGAGGAGGAGGGGGGAGGCGGGAGTGCCGAAGGCAATTGCATTGAATGAGCATGTGGACGTGAAGAGCTTTGCGCATTTGTTCTTCCACGACGCCCAAGTACGCCCTGACGTGGCCAAAGATGCCCGGCAAAGTGTTCGCAGCGATGCCATCGCAGTGGAGGTTGTCGGGGGTGTCAGTACAATTAAATAAAGTGCGCATGACGAGGCGCACTGTCCAGTGGAAGACACGCGCGGCGATGAGCGGGTCCTGCGACACGAGGGTGTGCAAGGCTCGCGGGTCCGCCTGGTTGAAATCGGCCATCCATTCTGCGGCCTCAGTCTCGCTCATGTCAAGAGAGAACTCACGGGCAACGGTAAGGTCGCCTTGCGTCAGAAGGACGGTCAGGGGGCTCCGAATGTCGCGTGGGTTCAGTGTGAAAAATAAGGATGAGCACCCAGACCAGACGCGCAGAGCTCGGAATCGCCACATGAATCCGTCCCGTTCTTCGGCGGAGCCCCGGACGCGTCGGAGCACGAGGTTCATCCTCTGGGCGGCGTTCCGGACGACAGGATCGAGACCTTTTTCTCTGAGAAGCTCGCGGACGCTGGTGGCGTCGCCTGCTGCGGCGGCAGAAGAAACGAGGCCTTCGGCCGTGAGCTTCGTGAGTGCCTGGGCTTCGTCTGCCGTCATGCCAGTGACCCCACCGTGGCCTGTGGATTTGACGTGGGCCTCCACGTTGGCCATCTGGTCCCGCCGCAGGAACGTGTTGAAAACGGTGGCTACGAATTCCACGTCTCGCCGCCAGCGCGTCGCATCGGCCCGAGTGAACAAACCCTTCGCCCATTGGGCAGAAGGAAGGCGAGTCGTTCTCCGCGGGCACGTCTCCTGACAGTCCCCGCGCGGGAAAAGGCGGACGAAGCAAGCGCCCCAGAACGCTTCCGTCCGGGATGACACGAACTGATCGCCGTGAGTGATTTTCACCGGCGGCATCTCGGACTTCTCTCCCGCGGCCCACTTTTCCAATTCCTTTCGGACATGGGCGCTGGACATCCGCTGCATGGTGTCAACTGCTTGGGCGAGTGCCTCGTTGTGCCGCATCTTCTTGTGGGCGCGTGCGGACGGGTCCGTGTCGCTGGAAAGCTTGCTGATCTCGTCGTGGAGGCGCTGTGCCACTTCGAAGTTCTCCACGACTTGCGTCCAGAGTCGCAATGACGTAACGTCGTCCATGCCACCATTCACCACTGCTGCACTAGTGTCCTCGCGCACATCACTCTGGTCGTGAACGGGATCGGTGCCATCTCCGCAATCAGCAGGCCCCTCTGAGGCCACGGAGGCTTTCGCCGCAGATGCCGGTGTCGCCGCAGCGAGCACCTCCCTTGGAACGCCTTCGGTGCTCCCAATACTTGTCTTGTAAGCGTCCAAGAGGTTTTCGAACATAGCGTGCAAAGTACCGTCGCGCCAAGTGTCGTGGTGCCTGGTGGCGAGCATGACTGCCCAGTTGTTCGAGGAGAGCCATCGAAATGCGTCGCGCAGGCGCCTCACCGACACTTGCAGTTCGGGATGTCGACGGAGATCGTCGGTTACGGCGCCTACGAACTGCACCAGCATGGTCTGGGCCAGCGCGGCTGGCAGCATGCCCAGAGCCGTCAGCGCAGCGTCAGGGCTCTGCGGGTAGGCTGCGACGTTTCCCTGGTGGCACGTCGGCGCCGTGGATGTAGCCGCGGGAGCGTAGGACCTCTTGTCCAGGAACACCCGCTTCGCGCTGACATATATTTTGGCGAGGTTCGCGACCTTCCCCTCCGCGCACGTCAAGTCGTCGAGTTCACGCGGGTCACGTCCGCGCCACATGCCGTTGATCAGCGCGGCGGGAGGCGCGCGAACACGGGGGCGGCGTCGTTCGGGGGGGCCGCCGAGTTCCCGCAGTGCAGCGACGCAATGCTTGCACATCCACGCCGTCGTGCCAGCACCATCGGCGGCGTCGCTCGTGTCGGAGGAGAGGATGCCCTTGCGGTAGACCAACCACCTGCAGTCTGGATTCCCCGTCGGCGAGGAGA